TTTCTTTCATTTTATCTTATTTTCTTTTTCCCTTTTCAAAAACCTTCTTCACACCATCCTCATATTCCACCTCTTTTCTCTACTCATTTCCTCTTTATTCAACATTTTTTTTACTTCCACCTTCCAACTTATCTTTCCTCACCTACCACCAACCAATTCTTTTTCTTCATTCCACATTTTTACTATTTTTATCATTACTCATCCAGATCTCTTCCTTCGATGTTTCCCTGCCAACGTAATTTCTTTTCCCTTTCAACGCAACTGATTTCCTTTTTCATCGTCGCTTCACATCCATGCTTGATCAGCGTATGTCGTCCAACGCAAACAGCCCACAAGCTGTCAAACGTCTCAATTACACCCCCGCTTCAAGAACAAACAAACACTCACTTCAACATTGCAAACTGCCGTTTCGCCTCAATCACAAGCTTCAGCACGCGCGGGTGGCCAACGCGCCCCTCTGCTCCGTACAGCCAGCCCACAAGCGCCTGCATCTCCGACGGGTCAAAGTCCCGCCCTCTAACTGCCAGGGCACTCCATGCGCTGCATGATGCCGCGCAAAGTTTGACTGCGTGACACAGACGCGACCAAGGCTCGGATGGCCTCGCGGTTGCGCTGGGCACAGGCCCGCCCCGTGCACTCCACCACTCGCTCACCTCCAATCTTCTGCGGCCTCCAACACCGGTAGCAAACACCAGCCCCCAAGTTCACTTGGCAAGTGCCACTACCATAGCCGCGGCAGTGGCATCGAAAACAGCGCCCTTTCATGACCGGGCAGCAAGAAGGCTGGTGGTGAGCAACCAAGCGGTCTCTGCTGCAGCTGCAGGCCCAGCAGTAGGTGCACATCCATAGCAGAGCCGTGTTAAAGTCGTCTGACTGAATGGGCGCCGATGGTACCATCAACTGTGCTCGTTTGGCCCGCGTCTGGCCCTCGTGTGATACTGGCGCCCCATGTGCTTCACGGCTTGGATGGCGCGCTGTGATGGTCGGTTGCATCATGGAGCACACATTACAAGCCGGCGCTCCTGCGGCTGCACAAATGTGGCCCTCACCATCCAGCAGCCAGCCAAGCTCAAAGGT